GAATATATAAATGTACATTTATAAGTATAACGTTTCAGTTTTTTTATAGCCTATAATTCATACTTAATAGTATTAACTTTCCGCAAATCAGAAATGAAAAATCAATATGGATATGTGAATATCTCATACATCACATGTTATACTTTATATATAAACTTACTATAATTTAACTATTCACCATTATTACTTTTATCACGACGGATCAGTAATGTAACTGATACAATTTATTTAAAATAAAAAATATAAAATAGTTGTCAGAAAATTATTTAAAATACAAAATTGTCAAAAAACTGATACAACTTATTTAAAATAAAAAATATAAAATAAATTCCAGAAAATTATTTAAAATATCAAATAAGAAATAAGTCAGAAGTTATTTAAAATAATAAATACTAAACTTTTTAATTTTTTCTTTATTTAAAAAATATATTTTAAATAATATAATAATATTTATTTGAAATAAAGACCGAGCTCTGATTCTTGTACACTAGACGTGAAAACGTCTGCAGCAAAATAATGCCGTAGCTAATAAGCAATTGCAGCTTCTAGCATGTTCATTAATCTAATCTAATTTTAAATCTAATATACAAAAGTGCTGGACAAAAGTTAATTAACACAGAGGATGCTATAAAATAAAAGTATTTTCAAAGATTTAATTCTCTGAAAATACTATTTTATAGTAGTAATCGTGTATCAATGCTTTCATTCAGCACTGTATACGCAAGCATGTGCGCAAGATTGTGTATATTTACGTATATATGTGCATGCATACCATATTAGAGACATCTCTAGAGACTATGCAGATACTATAGAGATGTACTGGAAACGTATTAAAGACATACTCATACATTTCAGAATAACTATGGTATATTACTAGGAGTTCCCTGCGGAAGTCTACGGGATGAGAAACCGCGGACATAGTCGATTCTGAAGAAATACTCTGTACAAACGTGTCTCGAATATCTTGACCATGTATTCAACAAACGTTTGCGATATCGTTCTAACGTTGTCAAAACATAGATGGCCGGAAAGTTTTTACTATGCATTTATTTTGTGTATTGACAACTGCGTTATATTCGTTCATTTACCTTATGATATAATATTTATTTACTGTATGATATAATATTTTGAAGGAGAATGAAATATCTTCTATCACTTGGGTTCGAATAGAATAAGTCTTGAATAGCTACAAAGATACTCCATTCGAGTTTTATTTTTAAAAATTAAAAATGCTATGTATACTACTTGACTTTTATTTTTTTTAAATAGTTGTATAACTATATACGCCTAAAAAAATGCTTCATATATTAGTATATCTATAATTATATATATGAAGCATTTTTGTTATGGATTCTTATACATTATTTGGCGATAATTACATAAAAAGAATAATTTTGCTGAAGTATCTTATAAAAATTTAGATAGATATAAATTTAAAAATAATTTTATTCTCGTTTATCAAAGTAGTTTGATGTAAGAAGAGCATGATAAGTAATACTGCTAAAAAGTTTTAAAATTATATAATTATATAATTATATAATTATATAATTATATAATTATATTTGTT